CAGTCTGACATTTTAGCATTAAAATACCGGGGAACAAGAACCACTGAGTAAATTTTAGCATTATAATATATATTTTTTCAAATTCTACATAGAATAAAGGGTTGGCACTGTGTGAGCATGTGTGAACATGCCTGTGTATATATCAAATGTTTTCAAAACCATTAAACTTGGATTTTTTCCACTATTCTAGCATGACCCCATTATTTAATTACTGTCAGTAGCTTCTTGTTTCTCTGTATATTCAGTTTAAAGCTTCATTCTTTGTATTTATTCAGTACATGTGTAACCTTTTATTTAATGTGAATTTAGTGATATATATATTACTCTGGGTTCGGCTCTGATTGTTACAATTTCAAGTTCAAAAGAGTGAAAGTCACCTCTGCTATTTGTTTCAGATTTAGAGCCCCTAGGAACACATGAAGACCAAGGATAGTGACTACACATGCATTCACAAGTACAAAGTCTAGTCTGTTTTACAAGTTTTATTAACGTTACAATTAAGGTTATGATTACCTGTGCATACAGAAATCATATGAAAACCTATGCAAAAGTTACAAATATAGTCATACTCACATCCTTACCGATATTCTTAGGGTTTGATGGATACCTTGCCAACTGATCATCAGTAAAGGGATGGTTCCTGCTGGAGTTTTCCTGTAGGTAGCCCATAGGGTTGCCAACTCTGACTGAAGCTATTCCAGGAGATTTTTTTTTCCAACATGACATAATGTAATTTTCTTAAAATAGCCTATTAAAATCTCCTGGATTGCTTTCAATAGTCATTGGGAGATCGATGCCAATTCCAGGAGACTCCAGTCCAAACCTGGAGGGCTGGCAACCTTAGTAACCCATTTTATCCAATCCAGGAGTCCTCTTTTATCATGTGATTCTGACTGCACCTAATACTCTGCACATGTGCATCTCAACCCTCTTTTTCTTTATCTGCATTGCACCCCCCCAATATTGGGGTGCCCCATTTTTGATAGGTTCTTTGTAGTTCCTTTTATTCTCATTAGCATCTATGCAGAACATGTACACTGCGGACAGGACACATGTTAGAAAAAAACGTTACAAGAAGGTATCTCATGATTTTGAATGGTACATTGCGGTCACTTTTTGATAATACTACCTATCGGCACATCTTGCTCATGATCTTGGGGCATCAGGTTATTCTTTGGTCACTTACTTAGGTCGAGCATTTCGTAAGCCTATCACCTAGTATGGCTAAGCTGACACCTTACAGGCCTCAACCTCTAGGCCGTGCATTTCAACCCTCCTTTACTTAGATATCTAATACAGACTTATCACTTCTAAATACTTGTTGATCTTATACTTCTATAATCCTACAATTTAAATTTATTTAACATACAACAATAGAATATTAGTTAATCGTAACAAAATAAATGAATGATAAAGTGAACTAATTAGTTACACTGGTATGTAAAAAGTTTCATCGTTCTGGTTTCAGGACACTCTTTCCATAATTTTAAAAATGAGATACAATTTTCTGCAAACAAGGCCATATGTTGTTTGGCCCTCCTTCCATAACCATAAAATCATAGAATATCAGGGTTGAAAGGGACCTCAGGAGGTCATCTAGTCCAACCCCTTGCTCAAAGTAGGACGAATCCCCAACTAAATCATCCCAGCCAGGGCTTTGTCAAGCCGGGCCTTAAAAACCTCTAAGGATGGAGATTCCATCACCTCCCTAGGTAACCCATTCCAGTGCTTCACCACCCTCCTAGTGAAATAGTTTTTCCTGATATCCAACCTAGACCTCCCCCACTGCAACTTGAGACCATTGCGCCTTGTTCTGTCATGTGCCACCACTGAGAACAGCCTAGCTCCATCCTCTTTGGAATCCCCATTCAGGTAGTTGAAGGCTGCTATCAAATCCCCCCTCACTCTTCTCTTCTGCAGACTAAATAAGCCCAGTTCCTTCAGCCTCTCCTCATAAGTCATGTGCCCCAGCCTCCTAATCACTTTCGTTGCCCTCCACTGGACTCTCTCCAATTTGTCCACATCCTTTCTGTAGGGGGGATAGCTCAGTGGCTTGAGCATTAGCCTGCTAAACCCAGCATTGTGAATTCAATTCTTGAGGGGGCCACTTAGGGGTCTGGGGCAAAATCAGTATTTGGTCCTGCTAGTGAAGGCAGGGGGCTGGACTCAAGGACCTTTCAGGGTCCCTTCCAGCTCTATGAGATAGGTATATCTCTGTATATTATTATTAAACGGGACACAGTACTCCAGATGTGGCCTCACCAGTGCCGAATAGAGGGGAATAATCACTTCCCTAGATCTGCTGGCAATACCCCTACTAATGCAGCCCAATATGCTATTAGCCTTCTTGGCAACAAGGGCACACTGTTGATTCATATCCAGCTTCTCGTCCACTGTAATCCCGAGTCCTTTTCTGCAGAAATGCCAGTTAGCCAGTCGGTCCCCAACCTGTAGCAGTGGATGGGATTCTTTCATCCTAAGTGCAGGACTCTGCACTTGTATTTGCTGAACCTCATCAAATTTCTTTTGGCCCAATTCTCCAATTTGTCTAGGTCACTCTGGACCCTATCCCTACCCTCCAGCTTATCTACCTCTCCCCCCAGTTTAGTGTCATCCACGAACTTGCTGAGGGTGCAATCCATCCCATCATCCAGATCATTACTGAAGATGTTGAGCAAAACCAGCCCCAGGACCGACCACTGGGGTACTCCGCTTGATACCAGCTGCCAACTAGACATCGAGCCATTGATCACTATCTGTTGAACCTGATGATCTAGCCAGGTTTCTATCCACCTTATAGTCCATTCATCCAATCCATACTTCTTTAACTTGCTGGCAAGAATACTGTGGGACACCGAATCAAAAGGTTTGCTAAAGTCAAGGTATATCATGTCCACCATTTTTCCCATATCCACAGAGCCAATTATCTCATCATAGAAGGCAATTAGGTTGGTCAGGCATGACTGGCCGTTGGTGAATCCATGTTGACTGTTCCTGATCACCTTCCTCTCCTTGAACTGCTTCAAAATTGAGTCCTTGAGGACTTGCTCCATGATTTTTCCAGGGACTGAGATAAGGCTCACTGTTCTGTAGTTCCCCGGATTCTCCTTCTTCCCTTTTTTAAAGAAGGGCACTATATTTGCCTTTTTCCAATCATCTGGGACTTCCCCCGATTGCCATGATTTTTCAAAGATAATGGCCAATGGCTCTGCAATCACATCAGCCAACTTCCTCAGCACACTCGGATGCATTGCATCCGGCCCCATGGAGTTGTGCAAGTCCAGCTTTTCTAAATACACCTCTACCCCGATATAAAGCGACCTGATATAAGATGAATTTGAATATAACGCAGTAAAGCAGTGCTCCAAGGGTGCGGGGCTGCACACTCCAGCGGATCAAAGCAAGTTCAATATAACGCAGTTTCACCTATAATGCGGTAAGATTTTTTGGCTCCCGAGGACAGTGTTATATCGGGGTAGAGGTGTAGTCCTTAGCCTGTTCCTTCAGCACTGAGGGCTGCTCATCTTCTCCCCATACTGTGCTGCCCAGTGCAGTAGTTTGGGAGTTGACCTGGTCTTTGAAGACCGAGGCAAAAAAAGCATTGAGTTCTTCAGCTTTTCCCACGTCATCTATCACTAGGTTGTCTCCCCCATTCAGTAAGGGTCCCACACTTTCCCTGGCCTTCTTGTTGCTAACATACCTGTAGAAATCCTTCTTGTTACCCTTCAAATGCTAGCTGCAACTCCAGTTGTGCTTTGGCCTTCCTGATTACACTCCTGCATGCTCGAGCAATATTTTTATACGGCTCGCTAGTCATTTGTCCAAGTTCCACTTCTTTTAAGTTTCCTTTTTGTGTTTAAGCTCACCGAAGATTTCTCTGTTAAGCCAAGTGGATCGTCTGACATATTTGCTATTCTTTCTGCACATTGGGATGGTTTGTTCCTGCACCCTCAATAAGGCGTCTTTAAAAAACAGCCAGCTCTCCTGGACTCCTTTCCCCCTTGTATTAGCCTCCCAGGTGATCCTGCCCATCAGTCAAAGTCTGCTTTTCTGAAGTCCAGGGACCATATTCTGCTGCTCTCCTTTCTTCCTTTTGTCAGGATCCTGAACTCAACCATCTCATGGTCACTGCTGTCCAGGTTGCTACCCACTTCTACTTCCTCTACCAATTCTTCCCTGTTTGTGAGCAGCAGGTCAAGAGGAGCATGGCCCCTTGTTGTTTCCTCCAGCTCTTGTACCAGAAAGTTGTCCCCAACACGCTCCAAAAACCAAACCAATTTCTTTAAACAGACTAGAGATGATGAAATTTTTATCCAGGGAAGCTATCATCAATGGGCTTCATTGCTTATAGTCAGTAAAAAGCCTGGATAGGGGGATGTATTTTGTATCACACTCTAACAGTAGGTAGGTGCAGCTGACATATTTGGGAACAAATTTTAAAGCTGAGTCCTGCTATTGAAAACCATCTGAAGGCGTCATGTAAATTCAGCCCTGCTAACTTGAAACCAAATGTAGGTATCCAGACAGTTCAGAAAAGGAAATTTGGCCTTTGAGATAAATGGCCCTTTTATTGGTAATCTGCACAATAAATTTGCAGCCAATGAAAATAAATATGCACAACATGCTGCAATATATCTTCTCTACACATAAGGCAGGTGGTTGCATTTTGCATTAGGTGAAGCTTTTAAGTGGTCTTCAAGGTCCAGGGTAGAGCTTGCTAGTCAAGTTTGAGATGAGAAGCTTGGATGATGTTAAGGTCAGGGATAGGGTCAAACTTGGGTAATGTTAGGTTTAGATTCTCATTGTGTGTCCGTCACAGGCTGGCTGGCCCTTTAAGAGGGGTCAGCTCAGCCTTCCCTGTGATCTGGCAGTTACCCCCCCACCCCCAGCTGATCCTGATCTGGATTCTGTTACAATTAGTGATCCTGTGAAAAGGTCAGGGAGACCCACAGACAGAGGGAAGTGGGGGGATTTGATAGCTGCTTTCATCTACCCGAAAGGAAGGTCCAAAGAGGATGGATCTAGAGTGTTCTCAGTGGTACCAGATGACAGAACAAGGAGTAATGGTCTCAAGTTGCAATGGGGGAGGTTTAGGTTGGATATTAGGAAAAACTTTTTCACTAGGAGGGTGGTGAAGCACTGGAATGGGTTACCTAGGGAGGTGGTGGAATCTCCTTCCTTAGAGGTTTGACAAAGGCCTGGCTAGGATGATTTAGTTGTGGATTGGTCCTGCTTTGAGCAGGGGGTTGGACTAGATGACCTTCTGAGGTCCCTTCCAACCCTGATATTCTATAATTCTATGATTCTATGAAAGCAGTGAGAGAGAGAGGAGCAAGGCCAGTTGAAGTCAGGCTGGAGAGAACACCCAGGAGAAGGTTAGGCTCCTGTGGGAGGCCCAGATCTAGGCCTGTAAAAAGCAGGGAGGTCCCTGTGAGAAGCTGCCAGAGTCCTTGGAGAAGGGCAGCGTGGGGGAAACCTGCTAAAAAGAAGGGCCTCCAGGGAAAATGCCTTGGGAGGCAGTGCTCAGCCAGGGGAACAAAGAAGGAACTGTGGAGTGCCCAAGAACAGCATGAGGAACAGGGAATTTCAGTGTAGCCTGAGAGGGCCAGAAGGATCTTCTGTTTGGATGTTTGTGTGGATTCTTTAGTTGGATTTTGGTTGCTCTGGAAAGAGGTGACTTATCTGGAGGATTAGGGCATAGAAGACATTGCCAGAGATGGGCCAAAGAAATGGTCAACAGGGGCCACTGGCTATGAAGACCCTTTTGACACCACACTCTGACATGGATGGATCTTACTGTAGTGAGTGAAAACACTCAAATTCTCCAAAATGGAAATACCATTAAGAGGTTTGCCTACCATACTGAATCACTTCAAAGGAAGGCCAGTGGTTTGATGTTGAAAGTCCTGGGTTCAATCCTCGCTGACTGTTGTGCCTCTAGGTATGTTTGTGGTTACAATCATGGGCAGCACGTGAACCCCCCTATTTGGGGAAGCTAGCCCCACCCCTTGTGTCTGAGGCCCCGTCCCTACCCCCTTCTACCTTAGGCCCCAGCCCCTCTTTGACCTTCCCCCACTCTCAACTGCTGGGGCCAGAGGAGCCCCAAGCCCCTCACCGCAGTTCAAGGAGCCCTGGCCAGCCCTCCTGAGCTGCCCTGAGCCCTGCCCAAGCCCTGAGTGCTGGCCAACCCACCCAAGCCACCCCATGTGCTGGTCCGCCCGCCCAAGCTGCCCTGATCCCCAGCCACCCAGAGGAGCTCTGAGCCTGCCACAATCTGGCCCCGGGACTGTGGCAGGGAACATTAGCACAGATTTGGGGAGGCTTAGCCTCCCCCAGCCTGCAACATGCGCTGCCCATGGTTACAGTGGTTTTCTGTTTAGCATTGCAGTAGTGCTTAGGAGCCCCAGTAACAGACCAGGGCTCCAATGCGCTAGGTACTGTGCAAAGGCATAACCAAAAGACAGTCCCAGGCCCAAATAGTTTACAGTCTTAGACAGAAGGCGAATATAGACTAACTGACGGCAACACCAGGACACAGTGAGACAATATTGGTCAATGTGATAGGCCAAGGTCTGCCTTTCTTTCATCTAATACATCATCTGGATGGAAAGAACATGGTTTTTGCTCACAATATATGGAAGATATAGTGCATAGGTCAGTACATTTGGGGTAAATTGCAGTATTTGACATTCATCTCTTTAAACAGTTCCCCTACTATTTGCTATGTAACAGGCCAATTTTATATGCCTTGGATGCATTTATATTTAGCCTTAAAAGCAGTTATAACCACTCTGCAGCTGTAATCATTAAAAATGTTCTGGAAATAGTCTTTAGTTCACTCTGTGTGCAGCTCAGATTGTTAAATATCATAAAGTTGCTTTTCCAGCCACTAAACAGTTCTAAACATTAAATATATCTTACAGCTAACTGGTTTTTGTAGTCAGTTAATTTTTTTTTTAAGTTCAAAGTACTGATTAGCTGAAAATAAGCCCCACCTGGGCCAGATCTTCAGCTGGCTTACATCTATGTAGGCTCATTCACTTCAATGCTTCTATACTTATTTACAACAGCTGAGGATCTGGCCCTTCAATTGTCTTCCTCCCTATTTTTCCTTAATCTACTTTAAATTTTGTTTACAAAAATAAGTTCAAGGTGTCAGTGCCACGAGGCCACTCATTTATTTTTCTTTGCAAAAGTAAATAATTGATTAGGCTCTCTTACAGCTACCTTATAAAAACAAATACCATGGTAGGAAAACTAGAGCTAGATATTTCCTGGCCTATAGTTAACAAGCAAATATTAATTATCTGTGAATATAAATTATTATTTAAAATTGCAAAATTTGTCTAGGGGAATATAAATGATCTTCTAGCTTCCAAACTAGTTTTTAATGGAGAAAATCATTTGCCTGGTGTGGTATTGCACTGGACCTGTAAAAATAATAATTTGTGTCTTCCTTAACTCCTTGAGCACTGCACTTGAGTGATGTGGGATGTAGTTCAATTGCCTTTCCATTGGCTTCTCTAGAATGTGGTGATGGAAACATACAGCGGTAATTGATTCTCCATCAAATACCCCTAGGGCAGCTTGTAATGAAAAGGGCTTTTTAGAAGGCTCAATTTACATAATCATTTTTAGCTGTATTTCCCTATATCACAAAGTCACCATGCAGTGTGGCTCAGCAAAACTAGATCAGCTGTCTCTGCTGCACAAAGGTTCAGCATCAGAAAAACAACTAAATTGCCACTTTACATTAAGATGAAGTGACACAATCTTTACGAAGAAGTTTCCCACAATCTCTGCCTGCACTCTGTCTCGCTGAAGCTACTGTACTGTCAGCCTCTTGCTTTGATGGACACTAAAAGTCACCCCATCTCCTCCATATTTCAATCAAAATGACTAAAAACTCTAGCCATACAAAGCAGTGTTCGAAAGTGAACCTCCATTACTGGGTTGAACACAGTCAGATTAAATGGGCAAGAGAATTTTCCAAGCACAGGATCTTGAACGTGGCCAGATAAATAGAGCAGTGTCTGAGCTGGGTTTAAGTAGTGTTCAGAGATGTGACTTTGGTTTATGCCCACCTTTATTATTAGACAAAAACCCCACAACAGCAGGAACAAAGATACAGCAGTAGTGGGGAATAATCTAGTAAAATCTGCTGCATCTCAAAAGGATTATAAAACCTCTCCTGCGATTGACACTGTCTGCCATCCCACACTTATGAAAGCAATAGCATTGATCTTTAACACACCATATGTTAGATCACTTGCTCTATTTTGTGTGGGAGCTGGGGTGGGAATAGTATAACCTTATCTTTAGCTGTCTGATTATTAAAATGCATCAGTTATAACTTTAACAGGACAAGGCAGCATGGTTGAGTGGTCTGAGTGCAGGGTTTGAGAACTCAGAAGTTCCTGCGGCCCACATTCTAGCTTTGACCTGGACTTAGTGTGTCTTTGAGTAATCTGCCTATGACTCCATTTCTCCATTTGTAAAGTGGAAATAACACTCATCCTTCAGAATCAGTCGATGTTTGTACAGTGTTTTGAAGGTACAAAATAATAGATAATATGTATGCATTGATACTGCATATTTCTATAGCATATATTTTTTGAATAGCTAAATATATTTGGAATAGATATAATGTATCTGTAGTGAGGAGGCGTGGCCTCCCTCAGATGCAGAGGGAATACCACAAGATGCCTAGTGGGTGGAGCCACGAGGGCCATGCCCCACACGCCAGAAGCAGAGAGGCGTAACAGGAAGGGGAAGCATAAAAGGCTGTCCCAGCCTCTGAGCTAATAGGGAGCTGCCAAAAGAGACAGACGCTCTTCCCCGCTGCTGGAGTGGGATGCCAAGGAGAACCACTGCTGCCCCGGAGACCAGTCTGAGCTTCCAGAGAGCCCTGCCACTCCCGATGCTGAGAAGCTGCTACCGTTATCCTTCGGAGACTGAGGAGGACTTCTGGATGCAGGTACACTCAAGAGGGAGAGTAGGCAGCAGCCCAGGGAAACCTGGCAACAGTCTGGTTGAGAGCTGGCCTGATACAAGGTCAGCGTGTTGCGGGCAGATCCCTGCTGACCCAGTGGCAGACCATTTCTCCACTGTTAGGACCTTGGGCTGGGATGCAGTGGAATTGGGTGGGCCCTCGTCCCCCCTGCCACCGCACCCCTCCTTAGGCTAGAAGGCCTGTGCTTCTCGAACATCCCTACCTGAGCTCCATAGACTGTTCTTGGCCCTCATCCCTACCTGAGCCCCAGACTGGGCTGGTGCTACAGCTCTGCCTGATTTCAGGCCAGAGTCCTGACTGTTTACAGGCCTGCTCCGCTTGAAGGCCGGGGCCCATTGAGAACCACTCATTCTCCCCCTTTTTTTCCTTTGTGTGGAGAAGACTCTAGCAGATCAAACTGCGCGGAGGCATGGCCTCCCTCAGATGCAGATGCAGAGGGCCGGCCGCGCCAGCTTACATGTAGTGGAGAATGGGGGCAGTGTCCGCCCCCCTGAACATAAGGGGGACCATGTTGCTTCTTAACCCATCCCCAGCAGAGGCCACCATGGATTGGGATCAACTGGTGAGACGGTGGGCCAGGAACCAGCAGCGAGAACATGCCACTCAGCTCCAGCGGCAGCAGCGGATGCAGCAGAGACTGGAGCCCCAAGGCCGAACACGGGTCATGCGACACCAGCCCCCCACTCTGGCTGCGGCAGTAAGGAGGACTTCCTGGTGGCAGAAAGCCCCAGCTGTGCGGTGCCACCCTTCAACCCTTGGCCGACTGAGAGGCTGGGCCTGCCTTGCAATGACAACCTGTTTGGGCTGTTACAGGGCAAATGGCCTGTGAGGATTGGATCCTATGGCTAGGTATGCACTGGAGAGACCCACGCCCACCAGCACTTTGGCCCCAAGGTGACAATCATAGAATCATAAAATCATAGATGAATCACAGAAGATTAGGGTTGCAAGAGACATCAGGAGGTCATCTAGTCCAACCCCCTGCTCAAAGTAGGACAAACCCCAACTAAATT